CCCTTAGCAGGATGCAGCGCACCCTTCATGCGACTCGCCGAATGCCTCACGGCGCTTCGCGCAAGTTTTAGTCGCTTTGTAACGACTTTGTAAAACAAGGCAAGTCACATCGTGAGCTCGGCAACCAGGACACCGTTTTGATTTTTACATCTGCTTTGTTTTTGGCGGTAGCCATGAACGGTGGTCGAGTGGATCATGTTGTGTGGCGTGGAGAACCCTCACTCCGCGCAACGGGGATGATCGCACCACGTCGTGTTCAAATGGTCAAGTACCCTCGAGGCAGTTACACAGTGCTTACAACTGTCTCTGGGAGTGAAAGCACCAGAAAATATATTAAGTCATAGTCTACGCAGCTGTCATCAGTACGCAAGGAAGTAAGTACAAGATGCCGAACACCCATAGCATGATGCAGCGCACCCTTCATGCGACTCGCCGAATATCTCAGGGCGCTTCGCGCTTGGTGATGTGAGAGCCTGGTCCGGTGAGAACCCGGCGTGCTCCGTCCCGGCTTTGTAGGGATGCGAGGTCAATGGCCTAACGACTACGGCATGCACGACTATGAGTACACGCCCCCCCCCACCCCCCAGGGGAGAGGGTGATTGAAGGCTGGGAGTCCATAGTGAACGCAACGGCAGAGGGAGTCGTGGGAAAGAAGTTGGTGAGATTTGGGGTATCGGTTAAGTGGTGGGATGACAAGCTGAAAGTAGAAATAGGGGAACGTAGAGAAGTCTTCAAGCAGTTCCTCAGTGAGGCGTCTGAGGAGAGTTGGGAAAAGTACAGGGCCAAGAGAAAACAGGTGAAAGGACTAGTGAAAAAGAAGAAAAAGTGCATTAGGGACGAAGTAGTGCAGAAGGCCAACGGAGGTCTGGAGGGGAAAGTCAAGCAGATGTGGGAAGGGATTAGTGGAATGGTAAAAAAGACCGCGCAAGGGGGGGATATAGGGGTCGCAACTTTGCGAGGTGTGAACGGTGGATTAGTCAGCAGGGGGGGGGGAAAAAGGGAAGTTCTAGCAGGACACTACAAG